TGTTTGGGTGCTCATCTGGAGAACGGGCTGGTTTGGGAAGCTCAGATACACATGCTTATCGGGGCAGGGCTGAGTCCTGGGACCCACGAAGGCTATGTCACATGAGCGCGTGGCTAAGAGACGCCACCCTGACAAGCAGACCTGCTCCAAGAGCACGCGCAGGGAGACCTGCCTCTTCTTGTGTCCCCGAGATGTGGATTTGGTTATAACACATCGCTTGGATTGATTTCCAGTGGCCTGGAGCATCAGTGGATGGGCTCTCCCCAGCCACCCTTTGCAATCCCCCCGGAGATAACGTTCCTGTCTCGCTGGGCTCCTGCCGGAAGCAGGAGAATAATCAATGAACTCGCTCGCCACGTGAAAGAGCAGGGCCAGACCCAGGGTGAGTCACCGCGCGGAGGCTCCACGGCAGGGTGAAAGGCAGGAAGGTGAACGACACGCGACATCCTTCCACGTCCCCTCTCCTTCCCAGCCTGACCCTTGCTCTCCCCCACAGGAAGCCCTGTTCTCGGCCTCCTTGTAAACTGCTGACAATTGTGTTTTACACCTGGCAAAGTCAACAGGAAAGGAAAGAAGAAACAAAGACTAGGACCTTCTCCTGGCAGGTCCGTCTGCCCAAACAAGAGCCTTTCTCCCATGGGGCCAACACACTGGCAGCTGAAAGGGTGGAGGTCTGCTACCCACACACTAGACACCAGCAACGCCCTTGGCCTCCCTAAAAGCAGGATGACTCCCACTGGAATGAGCATAATGCGTGCAGCTCAGCACCCACATCCACTTTCAAGTCTCCACCTGTCAACTTGAAACATGCTGCCATCCGAGGAGGGGCTGATCAAGTCATGTTTAAAAGTAATCCCAACTGCCAGGTACCTGGGCGCTCACGTGCCATGAAATAACACGCAGGATGGGTTCTTCGCTTTGCCCATGTAGCATCCATCCAGCCCCTTCTCTTCCCCTGCGCTTTGCCCCTTTTCCAGCTCTGGCTTGGAGACTGATCCCGAACGTTTCCTCTGTTGGTGTGTCTGGGGTCAGACTGCGCTCCGCTTCCCAGCCACCCCAACCCAGACCCCTTCTGTTAGACCTTTGCCCAAGTTCAGGAAAACATCCGTGTCCATCAAGAAACCTGTCGTGCTGGGATGAAATGCTTCCAAATCCCTGGCAAAACTTTTCCCAACTAGAGCAACCGCCCATGCAGACAGAATTAGCCAAGCCCGTGTGAGGCGCACACGCTAGGAACTTGCGTTCTAGACACAGAGACCATCACCAGAGCACCTTGCTTTCCAGCTGGGCTCTGGCAAGTTATCAAGGGCAGAAATGAGCCCCTTCTCCCCGCATGGAGGAGGATTTGTGGCTTCCTGACCGGAGCAGTCAACAAGAGTCACTAGGGCATCTGCTACATCAGGTCCCTCCAGACAAAGGCTGGCACCACTTCAGAGTCATTGCTCCCAAATGCCTCTCCCGGCAGAAGAACCTTTCTTGACGTGAAAGATGAGGCCGGGGTAGATAGACGTACTGGGCGGCTGTCATCTCTTGCCCAAGGCTTGCAAGCATGGCCTCCTGCAAGCCCAGTACGCCAAGCATCCCGCAAGCACAGCTCAGCTGGTGCCTGTGAAAACTTCCTGCACCAGCGCAGGGGCCGCCGCAAACACGCTCTCCCTATTTGGACCGTGCTGTTCCTCTCCTATATTCAGACAATCATAGAAAACGAGGGCTAAAGGGACCTCAGGAGGTCACGTCTAGTCCAACCCCCAGCTCCAAGCAGGACCAGCCCCACCTACATCATCCCAGCCAAGGCTTTGTCTAGCCGTGCCTTAAAAACCTCCAAGGATGTGCTGGAGGGCAGGAGGTGGCAGGGTTTTACCTGGCAATGCAGTGGCGTATCTCGCCAGCATCAAGTGCGTCAGAGGATGCGCGAGGACGGCTGCAGGGGCACGTCTGCAGTAACCTGCCCGCGGGCAACCTTTTTCATGACCTCATCGAGGGTTGGCTTGTGCTTTGAAGGTGGCACAAGGTTTATCCCCCTTATAAGCGTTTCCTGAGCAACGTGGATACTCCTCCGATTAACCTGATAATTGCCTAATCCCCTTCTAACACCCTAATTGGTGCATCGCCTAGAGCAGCTCGCGGCAAGCGCTACGTCTCAGGACAGATGCACGAGCAGGGAAATCTGGGAGGCAAGCTCCTGCCTCCATCTGTGATAACCTCAGCGAGCCCAGCTTCCCCCGCTGCCTGCGGCCGCCCCTGCCCGCCGGGCTGCCCCGGCCTGTCCTGCAGGACTGCCATGTAAACAGGAAGCAGAGCCCTGACGGGGACGTGCCACAGATGGCTGCAAGCCCCACAGCGGGAAGGCCAGTGACCGAGCATCCTGCCGCCAGCCAGGGAAGGGGCCTGGCCACCTCGCAGCTCCCGGGGGGCTGCTCCAGAGCCCAGCAGCAGAGACGGGAGCATCTCCCTGTGCTCCCTGCAAGGGATGTGGCCTGCCCTGATCTCACTCAGGCCTTCTTGCCTGCGCCCCAAATGGCACGCGTCCCTTGCTGCAGAAGTGCACAGGCCACACTCTCAAGGGACTTAATGCCAAGTACAAACTAATGTGCCTGGACCCACTGTGTCCCTCCTACTCCTCCAGGGAGGGAGGACAGGCAGAATCCCACAAGGAATAGGCAGCCGCTCTGTCTCTGCCCCAAAGCAGAAGGAACAGCACCTGGAAAGAACAAATGGGAGCAGCAAACTGCCCCTTCCCTGCCACGCACCAGCTCAAATCACCCCGGTAAAGCACATCAGGAAAGCACCAGCCGTTGAGCGCGCAAGCAAACCCTGCAGCGATCGAAAGCTGCGATCGGGCAGCAGCGATGGAAAGCTCGGCACACGACTTCCTACTTGTCAAAAACAGATGACAAAAATGAAAAAGAATCGCCCAGGAGCTAAAAGCGCAGGCGAGCGCGATGGGATGGAGGGGGTCCATCAAAACAAGGCTTTGGATAGAGACCTTTGAGTTGCGGGTTGCAGAAAGAGACCCTTTGCTGTGCTGGACAACTCTCAGTTGTGTTTGAAAGGCAAGGTGTAATTAGGCAAAAAGACTGATGGGGGGTGGGGGGGAGCCCTACTCTAGGCATGCTTGGACCTATGCCACCCATTTCCATAGCGGCATCGGTCAGACCCGTCTCCACTACTCAGCTGGAGCTGCTGGTTTCCGTTGCGTTTTGGAGCCTGTCGCTGAGTTTGCATTTCAGAGCTTGCTCACGAAGGGCAAAGCTTCAGGGGCCCGGGAGAGCCGGCGACCCGACGCTTGCCTCGTGGCATGACTTGTCCGTCCCCCCAAATATCCCACGGGCAGGGAGGCGAATGGAGGCGCTCGCTGAGGGACAGCGCTTCCATTAAAACTGGAGCAGTAAATCTCATCCCTTGCCTCTCGACTTCCCCCGGCTCCCTCCGGGACCCTCCCGGCGACAGCTCACTGGAAAAGCATTTTCCTTTCCAGTCGCTCCCTGCCAGGGATGGGCAGTGACTCAGTTGCGCTGGGCAAGACGTGAATCATTAACTCGGAGAACTTACTCTGGGATGGGATGGGATGGGATGGGATGGAAAGCGGGCCCGGGTTTGGGGCTGGCACTTCCCCCCCACCCGTGGGCATCGCAGCTCAGGGGCGGGCGGGCACCGACCGGGCAGGCGACAA